ACAGTCTCTATTCTGCTCTGTGTCAGTGTGTATCATGGTCTCTGAGGACAGGTGTCAATCCATATCTGCCAAGTGACCCTATGTAGGAGGAACAGTCCCTATTCTGCTCTATGTCAGTGTGTATCAGGGATCCTTAGGACAGGTGTCAATCCATATCTGCCAAGTGTAGGGGGAACAGTCCCTATTCTGCTCTGTGTGAGGAGGAGGAATGGGAAATGAGTAGCTCAGCATCCAACCTTGTGCAAATGGGGTCTTTCATGCTGTTGTGCCTGTTGAGGGACCCTCGTATAAAAAGGATGAAGGAGAACGACCTGTGCTGGGTGTCCACGCTACTAGACCCCCGGTATAAGCAGACAGTGGCAGAAATGTTACCGAATTACAAGTCGGAAAGGATGCAGCATTTGCAAAATAAATTAAAAAGTATGCTTTACACAGCGTATAAGGGTGATGTCACAGCACAACGGGAATCTAACAGGGGAAGAGGTGAAAGTCATCATCCTCCTCCCACGACCACGCCATATCTGCCAAGTGACCCTATGTAGGGGTAACAGTCCCTATTCTGGTCTGTGTCAGTGTGTATCATGGGCTCTGAGGACAGGTGTCAATCCATATTTGCCAAGTGACCCTATGTAGGGGGAACAGTCTCTATTCTGCTCTCTGTCAGTGTGTATCATGGTCTCTGAGGACAGGTGTCAATCCATATCTGCCAAGTGACCCTATGTAGGGGAACAGTCTCTATTCTGCTCTGTGTCAGTGTGTATCATGGTCTCTGAGGACAGGTGTCAATCCATATCTGCCAAGTGACCCTATGTAGGGGGAACAGTCCCTATTCTGCTCTGTGTCAGTGTGTATCAGGGATTCTTAGGATAGGTGTCAATCCATACCTGCCAAGTGACCCTATGTAGGGGGAACAGTCCTATTCTGCTCTGTGTCAGTGTGTGTATCAGGGAGGACAGGTGTCAATCCATATCTGCCAAGTGACCTATGTAGGGGAACAGTCTCTATTCTGCTCTCTGTCAGTGTGTATCATGGTCTCTGAGGACAGGTGTCAATCCATTATCTGCCAAGTGACCCTATGTAGGGGAACAGTCTCTATTCTGCTCTCTGTCAGTGTGTATCATGGTCTCTGAGGACAGGTGTCAATCCAGTCTGCCAAGTGACCCTTTGTAGGGGAACAGTCCCTATTCTGTTGCTCTGTGTCAGTACGTGTTTATCAGGGATCCTAGATAATCCATATTCGCCAAGTGACCCTATGTAGAAGGAACAGTCCCTATTCTGCTCTGTGTCAGTGTGTATCAGGGATCCTTAGGACAGGTGTCAATCCATATCTGCCAAGTGACCCTATGTAGGGGGAACAGTCTCTATTCTGCTCTGTGTCAGTGTGTATCATGGTCTCTGAGGACAGGTGTCAATCCATATCTGCCAAGTGACCCTATGTCAGTCCCTATTCTGCTCTGTGTCAGTGTGTATCAGGGGTAGGACAGGTGTCAATCCATATCTGCCAAGTGACCCTATGTAGGGGAACAGTCCCTATTCTGCTCTGTGTCAGTGTGTATCATGGTCTCTGAGGACAGGTGTCAATCCATATCTGCCAAGTGACCCTATGTAGGGGAATAGTCTCTATTCTGCTCTGTGTCAGTGTGTATCATGATCTCTGAGGACAGGTGTCAATCCATATCTGCCAAGTGACCCTATGTAGGGGGAACAGTCTCTATTCTGCTCTGTGTCAGTGGGTATCATGGTCTCTGAGGACAGGTGTCAATCCATATCTGCCAAGTGACCCTATGTAGGGGGAACAGTCTCTATTCTGCTCTGTGTCAGTGTGTATCATGGTCTCTGAGGACAGGTGTCAATCCATACCTGCCAAGTGACCCTATGTAGGGTGAACAGTCTCTATTCTGCTCTTTGTCAGTGTGTATCAGGGATCCTTTGGATAGGTGTCAATCCATATCTGCCAAGTGACCCTATGTAGGGGGAACAGTCCCTATTCTGCTCTGTGTCCATGTGCATCAGGGCCTCTGAGGACAGGTGTCAATCCATATGTCAAGGTGTCAATATGTCATATGTCAGGTGTCAATCCATATTCATTGTGATTTAGGAATGTTAGGTGATTTCTGCCCTTTATGGATTAAAACCAGACTCTGCATCAACTGTGTAATTGTCCATGGGAGTTTTGCCATGGATCCCCCTCCGGCATGCCACAGTCCAGGTGTTAGTCCCCTTGAAACAACTTTTCCATCACTATTGTGGCCAGAAAGAGTCCCTGTGTGTTTTAAAATGCGCCTGCCCATTGAAGTCTATGGCGGTTCGCCCGGTTCACCGGTTCGCGAACATTTGTGGAGGTTTGCGTTTGCCGTTCGCGAACCGAAAATTTCGTGTTCGCGACATCACTACTCAGGAGTGTGTCACATTCGCCGACTTTACTCACTTGTCACAGGGGGTCCACAACGCCCTGAAGGTCAGTCTGCATCAGGTTTGGTGCCTGTGGCTACTGCACCCCAGCCTCATACTCTGAACCTCGATTCATAGCCATGAATCTCAGAGTGATTGCTCCAGCATTTCAAGATGGCAGCCGCTGCAGGAGGAGACTGGTCTGCAGGTCAGTGGTTGAAGGAGGTGTGGCTAAGGGGTGGAGTCCCACACTCAGTCACATTGACCTTCAGGTAACCCCTCCTACAGATGATACCAGGTTATGTGATTGCGCCACTCCTTTATAAGCAGAGCACACCTTTCAGTCAGTGCTTGGTTGTTTTGTTGCCTGCCTTAGAACTCCTAGCGTTTGTTTCCCTGTGCTTCCTGTCATTGCTGGTTTCCTGACTTTGCCTGCTCTCTGGATTTTGCAGATTGCCACCCGCCCTGACCTCTGGACCGTCTGACTCTGATTTCTGCCTGACCCTTCTTCGGATACCTTGCCTTGGTATTTTCTGTTATTTTATTAAACCCCCCCGTGCCATCACTGAACCAACAGAATCCTGTTCTCAACCTCAGGGAGAGATATTACTGCAAGACTGAAAGATGAGTTGGCAAGAGTGGGTGGCCCCACAACCCTGGAAGGGCTGATCCTGTTGGTAACCCAGCTAAATAGGTGCTTCCACGAATGGAGAATGAAAAGTACACAAGCCCTGCCTCCCTTACGATTCACTAATTCTTCTGGAGCACCTGCTTCTTCTTTGTCTCCTGTCATGCCTGAGGAACCTATGCAGTATGGTCTGGTTCACCGCCCCTCTTCTGGGGAGCAATGGAAAAGGCATCGCTCTCTAGGTCTCTGCTTGTATTGTGGAAAACCTAATCATCAACTCCATGACTGACCGGTTCGCCCAACAACATCACAGAGTATCACAGAGTATAGGAACCATTGCACATTTTTCATGAAATACAGCAGCCCCTGCTATGTCTACTTACATGTCTGTCTCTCTCTCTCTACAGTGGGAAATACAAAACATCCTGTTACAGCTATTATTGATTCAGGGGCTACTGGATGCTTCCTGGATATAACCACAGGACAAACCATAAATATACCCATTCGGAAGAAGTCTGACCCGCTACTGTAACCCCAATTCTAAAGAAGCCGAACCTTGACCTTAACTCCCAGTCCAACTACCGTCCATAGGCGTGCGCACGGGGTGTGCCGGGTGTGCCTGGGCACACCTTAATCCCCGTGGCACGTCTATGGCTTGAGTTCTGCAGGAACAGCGTTCCTGCACTTTTTTTGAGCAGGAACGCTGTTCCTGCAGGCACTCAGCGCCCCCCGTCTCACCTCTTGCCCCTGTCATTGGGGGGAGGGCAAGAGGTGATGGATTAACCCCCCCTGCAGCTCAGCGCCGCTCTCTGCTCCCTCTCGCCGCATGCTGATGCCGGGAGCCGGAATATGACGTCATATTCCGGCTCCCTGCTCCAGCAGACAGCCCGCGCGGCGAGAGGGAGCAGAGAGCAGACAGCAGAGAGCTCCCTCGCCGCGGCTGAGCTGCAGAGAGGCGCCCGCCCCCACTGGACCCCAGGGAAAAGTCCACCAGCACTCCAGGTAGGAGGCTGGGTGGACATTTTTTTTTTAAATATAATAATTTGTGTGTGTGTATGTGTGTGTGTGTGTGTGTGAGTATGTGTGTGTGTGTGTATGTGTGTGTCAGTGTGTCTGTGTGTGTGTCTGTGAGTGTGTGAGTGTGTGTCTGAGTATGTGTGTGTGTCAGTGTGTGTGTGTCTGAGTGTGTGTCTGAGTGTGTGTCTGTGAGTGTGTCTGTGAGTATGTGTGTGTGTCAGTGTGTGTGTCTGTGAGTATGTGTGTCTGTGAGTATGTGTGTGTGTGTGTGTGTGTGTGCCTGTGAGTATGTGTGTGTGTGTCTGTGAGTGTGTGTCTGTGAGTATGTATATGTGTGTGTCTGTGAGTGTATGTGTGTGTCTGTGAGTGTGTGTGTGTGTGTGTGTGTGTACGTATATATATATATATATATATATACACACACACACACGCAGAACCGGCGCTATCTGAGTGCCGGCTCTGCTCTAAGCCTTCATGGGCTGGCGGGGAGAAAGATCTACCTCACCGGCCCACAGCAGCATGGAGGGAGGCAGTAGAGGACCCAGGCAGCTCTAGACAGAAGCTCCGCCAGGTTCCTCTGCGGCAATGCTCAGATCTCGCGAGAGTTAACTCTAGCCCCGCAGGCTAGAGTTCACTCTCCACTGGACCACCAGGGATGGCACATGGCAGCAAGGATTTACTAATCTGCCAAATCCCTCCAAACATACAGCACACACACATACAGCACCTACACACATACAGCTCACACACACACAGTACACTAACCGCACCCTCACAAACACACACAGCACCTTTAAAAAAAACACAACACCCTCACACACAGCACACTAACAGCACCCTCACAAACAGCACCCTCACAGGACAAACATACACACACAAACACCCTCACACACAAACAGCACAGTCACAAACACGCACCCTCACACACACATCACACTAACAGCACACAGCACACTAACAGCACACACAGCAGTGTGTGTATGTATCTATCTATATATATATATATATATATATATATATATAGATAGATACATACACACACGCGCGTTGCGTGTGTTTGTGCTTTAGGGTGCACACCCTAATGCAATAGGCTGCGCACGCCTATGCTACCGTCCTATCTCCCTACTGGCTTTTGCATCCAAGATCTTTCAAAGAGTTGTGTATGCGAGATTGACAGACTTCTTCGAGTCCAATTCTCTGCTAGACCCGCTTCAGTCTGGTTTCCGCACCAAGCACTCTTTAGAAACGGCACTAACCAAAGTATCCAATGATCTACTCGCTGCAAATTCTCATGTTCACTACCCTATCCTAATTCTCCTTGACCTTTTTGCGGCTTCTGACACTGTTGATCATCAACAGCTTCTTCTCATCCTCAGCAATAATGGTCTACAAGACATTGCTCTCTCCTGGTGCTCCTCCTACCTCTCCCAGTGCTCTTTCAGTGTTTCTCTGGCTCTACTTCTTCTCCCCAACTCCTCTCTGTTGGTGTCCCCCAAGGTTCAGTCCTTGATCCCCTATTGTTCTTCATACTGCCTCCCTTGGTAAACTCATTAGCTCCTTTGGCTTCCAAGATCATGACCATGCGGATAACATGCAAATCTATCTGTCCTCTTCTGATCTCTCTCCGTCCCTCTTGACTAGTGTCTCTGACTGCCTCTCTGCTATTTCTAACTGGATGGCTGCCCACTTCCTTGAACTCAACTTGACCAATACTAAAATTCTGGCTACTCCTGTGTCTCCCTCCCTCCAAGTCAATGGTGCTACCATCAGCTCCACCACGCAGGCTCACTGCCTAGGTGTTCTCTTTGACTCCGACCTCTCTTTCACGCCTCATGTTCAGTCTATCACCAAATCCTGCCACTTCCATCTCAAAAACATTGCGCGCATACGACCCTACTTAACGCCAGAAGGTGCTGGTCCATTCCACTGTCCTTTCTCACTTTGAATACTGTAATCAGCTTCTCAGTGGGCTTACGTGCTCCCAACTCACACTGTTAAAGTCCATAATGAATGCGGCGGCAAGGCTCATCTTCCCGCCCGCACCGCCCATGCCTCACCCTTCTGTCAGTCCCTACATTGGATTCCTGTAAGATATAGGACTCACTTTAAAATTCTGGTTCTTACTTTCAAATCTCTACATAATCTATCCTCCCTAATACACAAAGTATCCAGGTTCAAATCCCCTGTTGGGTACTTATGGGGCGGTCATGCCTGGCCGTCTGTATGGCATGGTGAGAACCCTGACAGAGAGGCCCCGTCAGTCGTGAGATAGAACCCATCAGTCTGCATGACATGTTGAATCTGTTGATCTTTGTTTCTGACTGTTAAATCTCCGTGTGGTTCTTGTACCTTCTCCAATGTTACCTCTCAAATTTCGTACCCTGGTTATGAACCCATAAACCATCCCAGAACCCATGGGAAAAAGGTATCCTCACGTTCTCCTCTTCACTCTGCAATAACACTTGTTTGTCGTCCAGTCATACCCCTGTATTATCCCTTGTTTCTACAGCCTCTGTTTCTCTCCCCAAGAAGTATATGTATGCAGATATATTCAATAAAAAAGTGCAGATGTCTTACCACCAAGGCATCCATATGATTGTTCCATTGACCTACTTCCTGGAGCACCCATTCCATATGGACGCATCTCCCACTCGCAGAAGCAGAACTGAACTGTCTGAAAGAATACATTAAAGGATTCATAAGGCCCTCCACTTCTACAGCTGGGGCTGGGATATTTTTTTGTTGGCAAAAAAGATAGAGGCCTTCATCCCTGTATCGATTTCCATGCCCTCAATAATATAACAGTCAAGAACAGATACCTGGAATGTTATTAGCGTTCATACAAAGGACTATTCCCCCCAATGGGTAGCAATAGAAAGTAATTATTGTGGAACACAAGACCTCTCAACAACACTCTGGAAACTGTATCAAATGAGACAAAAAATGGAGAATATGTTACCTTTAACTAAACATTTTCTCAGACACTTGTAGAGACAAAATATGTTCAGCATATCCATGGGCCCTTGCGATCCCAATTAAAATTTTATTTTACTGTAATGGCATGTTTCCTTATCAGAAATGGGAAAGAACAGGTATCACACATTTATTTCATTTATGCAGTATAGAGGGCCTTAAATCTTTTCCAGCATTGCAAGAAGAATTATCATTACCCTCAAATTTTATATTTGCTTATCTCCAAATTAAAGCGATGGTAACCATAAATAAGATTTCAACAGCAGAATCAACGCTTCAAGCTTCCATAACAGAATTTGAAAAACAATGCTTATCGTTACGTCCTCCGAAAAAGACATTGTCTATTTGTTATCAAAAACTGGCTAACCCTGTTGAGCAGAGTAATTGGAAATTTATGCAAGATTGGCAAGAAGATTTAAAAGTTAACATTCCCCTGACGGAATGGAAACAAATGTTTACGGACCATATAGGGCTAACCACCAGTACCGCCCACCTTGAGGCAGCACGGAAAATTCTCTATAGGTGGTACTTAGTACCAACACGTCTAAATTCTATGTTCCCCGTAATGTCAAACCAGTGTTGGAGATGTCATAAAGCTAAAGGTACTATGTTACATGTTTGGTGTTCATGCGAAGCGGTTAATTCTTTATGGAATGATGTTATCAAGAGGATAAAACATGTGACAAATATTGAACTATCCCATGATCCTAAAATTATATTGCTACGACTACTTCCAAGTAATTTATCAAAATTAATCAAGAAAATTATTTTTCTCTTATTAAGTACAGCACCTATACTAATTGCTAGACAATGGAAGACCAAGGTTTTACCTTCTCGACGAGAAATTGAAGAATTAATGACCTCAACAGTGGAACATGAATTGTTAATGTGGAATCAAATGAAAATAGGGAAATCGAGCCCTGGTATAGACCAAATGTGGCGGATATATTTACTATCATATACTAATTAAATTCCGGAATATCTAGATAAACCTAGAGGCCTCTATACAGAATACATTTTGCTGACTATAATCAAACATATAGATGATCTCATTTAATCATTTAATTAGTTATGGAAGAAAATAATTTTATAAATTATGCTAGGTTAATACTCCCCCCCACCCTTTTTTTTTTTTTTTTAGCTAGGAAATAGGTCTTCTTTATTATCGGGCATGGTTGGTACGGTGATACTCTTTGGAGTGACAACTGTCACTATTAGTGGCTAAAGCAATGTAGACAACATAAGGGTTAGTTTAAAAGAAAAGTAAAAGGATAGAGAAGAGGGGAGGGAGGGAGAGGAAAGGGGAAAAAAAGAGAGAAAAAAGTATTTTGCGAATGTGTGTATTAGTTATTACTGTAATTTACTTTATATAATTTAAGATACATGAACTATATAAGATAGGTTATGTCTTGGAAATTTAGGCATATATAAAGTGATGAACTATATGCTATCATATTGATGATATGTACAGAGACAAGTGACCTCGTTTGGCTGTTTTTCCCTCCCTTTTTTTTTTTTTTCTGTATCCCTTATTATTTGAAAAAGATAAAATAAAAAAGTAAATTTTAAAAAAAAAGAACAGATACCCATTACCTCTGATCCCAGAGCTAATGGACTGGTTACAGAAAGACTCTGTATTCACCAAGATTGACCTACGTGGGGTGTACAATCTGGTGTGCATGTGAGAAGTAGATGAGTGAAAAACGCCTTTAGAAACCGTTACTGCCATTTTGAATATCTGGTTATGCCCTTTGGTGTTATGCATCTGCTACTTTCCAGTATTTCCTTAATGTTGTTTTCTGAGATATCCTGGACTTCTTCCTTGTTATTTACCTAGATGATATCCTGATATTTTCAGATTGTTGCGGCTCCTGGCCCACCGCACGGCGTGTCTGTGCCCGACCGGCACGACCGCGCCGATAAAGCGAGCTTACCTGCTCGTTGGCGAGCCGGGAACCGCTCCTCTGTGTCTTCTGGGCAGTGCACCCAAACCAAAGATGGCGCCGACCATGCGGTCGCATCCATCAAAGGCTCCGCCCCTAAAAGTTATACGGACGTGCGCGTGACGTTACAACGCACGTTCTGTGGTCAGAGGTCACCCTATGACCAAGCAGAGCCCAGAGAGAGATATTTAAATCCCTGATTTGCCCCAGTACCTTGCCCTGTCGTGGTTTCCTGTTCCTGGTTTCCTAAGAGTGCGTTTTTCCCTGTGATATTGATATTCTGGTATTCTGATCTTGGCTGTTCCTGGTTATTCCGATTTCTGGTTCCCCTGACTTGGCTTGTTTAAACGGTATTGTGTATTTCTGGCTACCTTGACCTCGGCTTTTCCTTTGACCATTCTCTGTCTATAACGTTCGGCCATTCTAAGGTCCGGTTTACGTTCTGTCCTTTTATTTCCTTTCTTATTTCTATATATAGGTTTACATAGTTTCTGTGTGTTGGACCACACTAGCAGTTGTGACACAGATACTTTGGAACAACACACTGAACATGTGAAGAGAGTCCTCCAACACCTTTGAGACCATGGGTACTATGCCAAGCTGGAGAAATGTGTCTTTCACACAGTGATAGTAGAATTTTGGGGGTACACCATCACCCCTGGCTGCATCCAGATGGATCCACACAAAGTACAAACTGTACTGGATTGTCCCAGTCCCAAGGATAAAAATGGAGTACAACAGTTTATTACAGTGTTTTTACTATTTTGTTAAAATAAAAGTATTTTTAGACTACCTATCTGCCCGTGGTTAGTCCTCTTACTTTTATTTGTTGCTGTTTTATCCTGGATGACTTTTTATTATTCTAAAGATCCAGTACTACAAAAGAAATCCTAGGTGGGGATTATTCCACTCACGCCTGGTTCATAGAGCAGTGTGGCTATTGTAAGTACTTTTCGTTTTACCTTTTATCTACTGAGAACACTATGGGCCCTCTTTTGTGCTTTTTTCTTTCATAAGTCCTGCATTACAGTTATCGTTAGAAGGATATCCTACATGTGGGGAGTTTAAATACCACTGTATGCTGTTTTACTCAGAGCTGGGTATAGTTCTCTCAATTGTAAGTTGGCACTCTTAGGACC